CTTAAGCTCACAAAACACTTTTTTCTCACTTAAACCAACTTATAAACCCCTTAGATCGCTACGAACTGTCAAAATTGTTTGGCAAAGTGTAGTTTGCTAAACAAAAAATTGGCACGGAGAAAGGGATAAACAATCACCCCGCTCTGTCTCATTTCTATGCAAGAGGTATGCATAAATCTATCTTTTTCGTGTGCGAATGCGAAATAAGGCGTCAATTTGTCTATAGGTTTCTCTGTCTACGGTTTATTCATTAGGACTATGGAGTGTAGAGGTAAGGAGTACAGACTCTGTATCATGAAGGTTAGAGAACAGGAGAACGATCACTACGTACTAAAACATAGCCCGCCTGTCGTTGAAAAGTGTAGAATTTATAGCGGCGCTGCCGTCAGTGAGTGGTGACTGCGAAGTTAGCTGTTTATGAGTACAAGTAGATGAATTTAGTTGTATAATGTACAAATTTTCTCCGCGGCATTGGTGAGAAAATTTTCATGCTCCGTTATTTTGTAATTCTTAGCGATCGCAGTGTCTCACTTATAATGTCCATATTTCTGGGACACTATTTTCTACGGCGATCGTTCTCCTGTTCTCTAGCCTTCATGTGTACAAGTCTAACCGATACTTTGACAAATTAACAATGCTATATAGACATGTGACCAAATACTTTATGGTTGTTTCGAAATACAACCCAGTACACTGGCCAATGGAACACTCTCCACAACAGCGCTGGAGTAGCTACAGGAATTTAGCTACTCCAGCGTAGCGAGTAGCTACAGGATATTTTGAAACTGGGCCACGTTAAAAGTACCCTTAACCGACGAGCATGTATGCGTAGATATACGGATGTAAAGGAGGCGAAAGAGGTATGTCAGGATCGTGTCAAATGGAAGTCCGTAGTCTCTGCCTACCCCTCTGGGTGACAGGCGTGAGTGTTTATGAGTTTATGAATTATGGAGTTATAAGTGTAATAAAAATTTAACAATAGAATACTTAAATCGTGACTACTGTGATTAAAAAAAGAATATCTACTCTAATTCAGTCAGAATCATGCGCGGTCTCAAGAGAGACTATTGGAACCAACATGTCCATATGATTTTCAGTAAAATCATCTGATCTGATCTAGCCACTCTAAGCCGTTGGCGCTTGCGCACTGTAGCTCATTAGCTTGTGCGTCTTGTAACAATCCGTGAGGGTCGCACTTTGCGGAACATACGCGCTTGCTTGTGGGCTGCTCGCCTGTGCTCTGCAGCTCTTGTGATAGATGTAAATACCGAATGTACGCCGCATGTGTTTAATATTCTGACATTTCAGTAGTGGTTAATCGTATTACGATATACTCTTAAGATTAAATCTTAAGCATGTACAATCTGGATTAAATGGACCAAAATAGTATAATTTTTTTTGTTTCAATCAGAAAAAAAAATGCGTGATATTTGTCGAGACCCCCCTCTCCCCGACGTAACATTAGATGAAATTTGACTTGAACCCCCCCCCCTCTTAAACATATCACGTAATTTATGGACGCCCCTCAACGCGCTAGCCCCGACTGCGTATTTCACCATGGGTAGCTTGCAATTGTAGGTAATTATTTCACGCAGGTAGCAAGAGTGATAGACCTGGTACCGGGACAAACTTGCGTCTCAAGTAGAGTCTTTGCTGAACAGAGTCTCGGATTGGGGGCGACTAAATCTAGTCCAGTTTAACCCTCAGAAGACACAACTTTGCGCGCTAACTGCTAAAAAGAACCCGTTTGTCGTATCTCATCAGTTTCAAGGTACTCCCCTCGTTGCCTCAGCCAGTATCGGAATCCTCGGCGTCGACATATCGAGTGACGTGCAGTTTCGTGGTCACTTGGAAGAGAAGGCCAAATTGGCCTCTAAAAAGCTTGGCGTGCTCAGCAGAGCGGGACAGTATTTCATGCCGGCACACCGCCTGCAACTTTACAAGGCGCAGGTTCGGCCGCACATGGAATACTGTTCCCATCTCTGGGCCGTGGCTCCCCAGTGCCAGCTCTTTCCACTAGACCGCATCCACCGCAGAGCGGTTCGAATCGTCAACGACCGTGCGCCTCCTTAAGGAACAGACTACATATATGGCTAGTATCCGTTAAGACTGGCCGCGGTGACCTAAATGTGGTCTGGAGGACATAATGAGTCACAAGACCATTACGTGTTATGGTAGACCGTCTGTGCATGATATCCTCGATGACAGTTTGAAATTAGTATTAGTAGTGTTTTCGGTAGAAAAGTAAAACCAACAAATAAACTTTAAAATTTTTCTTTAATCAATAATTTAAAGCTTACAGGTTACATTTCATTTCGTAAATATGCAAGCGGCTCATCGTTACCGAGCCGCCGACACCGAAAAAACAGAAATTTCGCTTCTATCGTCCCTAAATAAGAATCGAAATCGCTCGGCAGCCGCATCTAATGCGATGCCAGCGCTGGTCCGTCGTCGTCGCGTGACAAAGTCATGAAAGAATCAGCTTCCGTTTGCTCGGTACACCCCACCAGCAGTTTTTTTCGAAACCAGGCACGGGCGACTTGAATAACAATACAATGGTGCAATCGCTATTTGGGCGCCAATTAGAGCAGAGACTTGGCAATTTACTTGGACGGTACAAATATTATTCTGTACGTGTTGACTAAGTGTTGCCAGTTCTAGAAACCCCACAATTGTTTCTTTTTCGCGGATACAGCTGTTTACAAATATATTTTATAGAGGAATGTGAAAAATAACTTTTTTTTTAATTTATTTTTGATTTAATAGAATAGGCATTTTACGGAAATCCATTATGTTAAATGTTAAAAACTAATTATTTTTAGTCTTAATTAAACCTTTACAGCTAAATATGTTCTCTTTTTGTTGTTATAAAAAATACTTGTGACCTTGGAAGTTGTTATTAGGCCATAATAATTTAGGCAACGTATAATACTTACGTAGCCTATTATCTTAAGGTTGAAAGACCAATTGAAACATACATGTTAAATGCGAAACGGAGATCTAGACGGCAACACTAGAGAACGGGATATTTTAATTGACATGTTATAAACAAGTCACATCGATATATCGGGTTCGAAAAATAAATCAAAAAAGGAACTCAGGAACTCCAAACACAACTGCGGGTCGGACTTGTGCGGATCCTAAGTTGCTCTCTCAAAAAGTAGTTATCGGGTGAAAAGAGATCACCCTAATAATGTCTATCTTCTTGTCGATAAAGTTTGTATAGACACGAAAAATCGCTTATTTCTTCAACCTAAATCTTTCTTCTCCTCTCAAAAATGATGTAACAAAAACGCATACAAACACAACCGTAGACACATATACAAATATTTCTCACTCGCTTGCACGCATACACGCAAATTCACGTACATCGCTCAGCCTCAATCGACCAACAACAAAAGCCTTGAACGCAAGAAACAACAATTCTAGAATATTTCTTACAAACATTACTCTGTCACAGTTTCAAGGGACATTTTACAATTTGATCACACCGTGTAAACTACACAAAAGTAGCTGCTATAGGGTCGTTAAATAATATAAGGTGCGCGGCGGCCATTTTGTCCGCGAATTAACAAAAGCGCTACCTCACAACACTACTAAAAATAAATACACCAAACTGGAGCCCCATTATCAGCTGCTACCTTTTTCTCTCTTCTTTACGTCACACATCTCGTGATAGCATCTCACTGTCTGACAGTTGCCCTGGCGATCAACACAAGGGCTCTCAGATGTATAACCACTGCTTATTGCCACATCGCCAACTGTTACTTGATGTTAGTTTGAAATATATTGGTTCAAAATATTTCATAAGCAATACCCATACATCTGATATCTCAATATACATAAATATCTTAAAAGTATGTGATTTGCGTTTTCCAATCAATGCTAGCTAGCACGCCTTACAAATTGATAGAGAAATATCTAAATTTTTAAACAGTTCACTCGTTAAAATTTACAGACGCCAGCAAACTTGTCGATCAATACTGCTCATTGCAATTTAAATTATAAATTTTGTCTAAACTTTATAAAATAATAAATATAAATATGGTATTTTTCACAAAGCAAACAAAATATTTGTTTTACATGCTAACATCAGTATTTTGAATTGCAAGGAATCTTTAAATTTCAGTCGCACACTTAAATAGGACTTGAGTAGAATGACCAACTCGGTAGATTATTATAAATCAAATCCAAATTTGAATACAGAACATCTGTGAATTATTAAACAACAACTGTAATTTCTCATGGTTTCAATATACGTTTGAAAGTGCTTTTTATTGCACTGAAAAAGTTTTTGTGTGGCTTCCAAGCTTTGAAAGTTTCAAGAGTACATAAAATGGTCATAATAGTAGTACATAATTTAATATTGGACACAACATCCATAGTGATTGTTGTCCATATACATAATTTTTAATGTTTGGTTTCTAGGATATTTAATAATTATGAATTTGAAAAAATATTGTTACTTATGTAAGATGGAAGTCATCGATAATGGAGACAATTATATTGGCATAATTTGTTTCTTTAAGTTGATTTGTATAATACTGTAAGTCTACTTGAGTGTGGGTCAAACAATGTCAAGTCATCAGAAATTATTACTTTATGACTTTATTTCAATAAAACCTATCGTAAACAGATCTACAAGTTGATACAGCCCATTTAGTTTGATATTTTGACACAAAGTTTATGAATTTTTTTATTCTATTCGACGTCTTAAATGCTAGCTGAGAGCATCACGATGCAAGTTGTTGAGGATAGGTAACGGGGAAGGATTGGGAGAAAGTAGGGGTAATTGGGGAGTGTAAGGAAAATGTTGGGGAGGTTTGGGAAGTGTGTGGTCGATATGGTGTACGTAGAGGGAGTGTGAGCGTGAAGGTGAAGGTATTTGAGGTAATGTTGGGGGAATCTAAGAGCATGCTATTGGGAGTTTCAGCGCATGTTGGGGGAGTTTGGGCGCATGTTGGTGGTGGAGTGTGGGAGTGTGTGTGGGGGTGGCAGAGTCAGTTGCGCACGGGCGGCGCGTGGTGGTGCCGCTCCAGGTCCTCGAGCGAGAGCGCGTTGGGCACGTGCACGGAGGGCAGCTTGCCGGCCGACGCGCGCGCCAGCAGCTCGGGCGAGAACCAGCGCGCCAGCTGGTTGTCGCCGCCCGCAGCAGCCCCGCCGCCAGCCTCTGCATACACACGCACACGTCCACACCGAGCCGCCATGCTACCGCGGTAGGTCACAGCTGTAGCGCACACACGCACATGTCCACACCGAGCCGCCAGGCTACCGCGGTTCGTCACAGCTGTAGCGCACACACGCACACGTCCACACCGAGCCGCCAGGCTACCGCGGTTCGTCACAGCTGTAGCGCACACACGCACACGTCCACACCGAGCCGCCAGGCTACCGCGGTAGGTCACAGCTGTAGCGCACACACGCACACGTCCACACCGAGCCGCCAGGCTACCGCGGTTCGTCACAGCTGTAGCGCACACACGCACACGTCCACACCGAGCCGCCAGGCTACCGCGGTTCGTCACAACTGTAGCGCACACACGCACACGTCCACACCGAGCCGCCAGGCTACCGCGGTTCGTCACAGCTGTAGCGCACACACGCACACGTCCACACCGAGCCGCCAGGCTACCGCGGTTCGTCACAGCTGTGGCGCACACACGCACACGTCCACACCGAGCCGCCAGGCTACCGCGGTACGTCACAGCTGTAGCGCACACACGCACACGTCCACACCGAGCCGCCAGGCTACCGCGGTACGTCACAGCTGTAGCGCACACACGCACACGTCCACACCGAGCCGCCAGGCTACCAAGGAAAGACCACGCCCAGACAAAATACCGGCGTAATATAGCAGCTGGAAACGAAACTTTTTCACTGGAAACGAGAGATTCCACCTCAGTCCTCATGGGTGACAACGCATCTGCATCATTTGATTCCTAACCGAAGATAAATGTAGATGTTTATGGGCTGCAGCATTCACTCACCAATTAGGTGGATAGTGTGCTCGTTTGTCATTATTCTATTTAAAAAAAGCTGGTACAATGTGCAGTCCCTAAAACTAGTGATGCTGCCTCAGTATGTGAAGATTGAGCGTTTGAAACCACTATGTGAGCACATTAGTGTCGAATACCGGATTCATCTCAGCAGATATTTGTGAGTTGATCACAATTTGTCTGTTTCAATCAATTTATAAATAATTTTTCCTTTGAAGCAGCACAAACTTGAAATAAGGTTGATATTTCGGAGAGAAGTTGTTAAGCACCTTTAAGACACATAGTCAACCTGGTAGAGCCACGCTGCAGCTATATTATGGTTCCTGCATGGCTCGGCTCCACCCAGGTAGGATTACGCTCTCATGAAATAACGGTGAAAACCAGCAGCTTAATGCTGGTGTTTTATACGGTCAGTGTAGAGAACCAGAGACCCATTTTACTGGAAATAAGGCATCCCATCTTCCGCTCAAGGGTGACAACGCATATACAGTTTAATTCTCAATCAAAAATAAGTTGTATGTGTGTGGTCCATCGCATTCACTCACCATCACGTGATGAAATAAAATATACTTAATGGAGGAGGTGGTATGAGGTTAGTTACCATTGAGGCTGCGGTGGTGCGAGTGCATGAGCAGCTGTTGCAGCGTGCTGCCACTGCCACGGGTACCTCCTGCACCGCTGTACTGTTGTAAATAACATAAATATAATCATGTCATTTCTACCGACATATACACGACTATACCTATGTAGGATTATATAAATATTACATTCACACACGTCTGTTATCTCCAAGAAGGTAGGCAGAGCCCAAAGAGCAGCGGTCTACTCTGAATATATTAGACAAAAAAAATGTAGGTTTGATGGAGAATTATGAAAATGTGTGATAGGTAGCTCATCGTCTACAAAAACACAAAACTTATATCCCATTAGTTGCTACTATATGCTAAGCAAACAACACAGTGTATGTATTTAATTATTTAGTTCAGCAAACAACATTACACCTACGCTTATTCTGAAACAGTAATATAAGCCGAGTACACGTTCAACGCAACGGTGGAAGGATGTCTGCTGCCCACACATCGTACCGTGGACGTCGTAACAAGCGACAGAGGTGACCACATCACGACAAGGGCTGCAGTGTCTTCCCAGTAGCAACTGAAAGTTAAAGGCTGCAGTTGCTGCACCACTTGCTGAGCGTGCTGTTTCTGCTGATGCAATCTAAGAAGCTTGGCCTATCATCAGCAGTGGACTTTACTGTAACAGTCTTCCTATCATTTCTGAGGCTTTAGGGCTAGGAAGTCTGCCTCGCTGCCCCAATGCTTGATGATGGACTTCAAGTCTTTGAAATATATTTTATTTTTATTTCTAAGACATGCAGGTTTCCTCACGACGTTTTCCTTCATCGTAGAGCAAGTGGTAAACTAATACTTAAAATTGTAGTTAAAAAGTTTGTTGGTGCTGGCGGGGTTCGAGCCCGGGTTGCTCGTGTACTGTGATATTTATGACTCACTATTTAACTTATTAAGTGTAATTTCAATAACTTCATTTAAGTTTTAATCTATTATTCCCTCTAACCTATGTATTTAAAAAAAAAACAACGATGTATGATTCATGATTATATCTTTAGTTTGAAATATTCGAGTTTTATGTCTTCTTTCTGTCCTGCAGTTGAATTTATTTAGAACTTCTTGTTACAATTTATGTATATGGATTCCATTGAGAACTTGATATTAAATTAAATTGTGGAAACAATGCCAAATATCTCATAGCAGTTCAAGTGTGATTTAACACCCTCAGCGCCTCACGTGCGTGCGCAAAAATGATACACTGGCGCTAAGGGCATTAAAGACATTCATTCAATTAAAAAAAAAACATGAAATACATTTTCACAATTATAACATTAAAAATGAAAAAATAAGAACATCTACAAAATAGAAAACTATGCTTTCCAACCTGCCTACCAAGCGTGGCAAGCATGGCAACTGTGGGGGATGTTACGAGGCAACCTGTGCACAGTTGTGGACTTTGATAAGCTGTAATATGTGGACGGAATTTATTGTTATTATTGTATTATCAAAGCAAATGTACTTACAGAGTTGGGCATTTGCTGTCTCTGCTGCGGGTGGGGGTTGGGTAGGATGGGGTACGAGCGGCCTGCTCCCGCCATTTGCTTGAAAATTTAAATTGGAATTCATTAAACAAATTACATTTAGTGAATCGATAGAAATTATAATGTTGTCTCCTCTCCTGTTTGCAATTTTCATTAACTCTATGAATCACAATTTGTCCTCTTCCTACCACTTGTATGCCGACGATCTGCAAATCTACACTCAGTCCTCTCTTGAAGGTTTGTATAAATCAGTTGACACTATTAACGCTGATCTGACTTGTATTTCTAACCGGAGTAAATGCTATGGTTTAACAATGAATCCTAAGAAAACTCAGGCTATTGTTATCAGTAGTTCTAGATTAATTGGAAATATTGACTGGTCTTCCCTACCTCCTATTATACTAGACGACTCTATCTCTTAAAGAGGCTAAGAACCTGTAGATCTTGGGCCTCGCAGGTTAATGAGGTTAATAGAAAAATGTTTGCTGCATTAAGCTCTTTATGTAGATTAAGTGATTTTCTTCCTACAGTAACTAAAGTTACGCTCGCTCAATCTCTACTTCTACCCATCCTTGACTATGCTAATATTTGCTACCTTGACTTTACCGAGGAGAATCTTAATAAGCTTGAGCGCATTCAAAATTTATATATATGATTTATATTTGGGCTTCGCAAATATGATCACATCTCTGAATTTCACAAACAGTTCAAATGGCTCCCGATTCGCCTACACAGGAATACTCACATTCTCTCCGCTTTTTATGGCGTGATGTTTAATCATTCCACTCATCATTATTTAAAAGACCATTTCCAGTATCTTTCCCTTACCCATAATCGATTCCTTCGATCCTCTGTCAATCTTTCTCCTCCTTTTTTAAGAAATCTTTTATTGTCACCGGTGTGTGTTTATGGAACTCTTTACCTCTACACTTTCGTCGTGCTAATTCTCTTCATTCTTTCAAAAGTCTTGTTAAATCGTATTAACTTAGAACGCTATTAGATAAATTACTTTTATAGTACACGGTGACTTAAAACCACGATTGAGTCACGCTCATGCGGGACTCAAAGAGCTGATTAATGTACGGTATGTTTTATTTAAGTCGCTCACTCACATTCACACACACTATTTTATTGAAACATAATAATAATAAATAAAGAACAATATAACATTAATAAGTAATATCTATAAAAATACATTAAATTACAAACAAAACGTAAAATCATTTGATCAAGAAATATAAACAAAAATACTTGACATAGTCATTTAAATTTTTTGTACATTTTCAGCTTGAACTGTATTTTCATAGTACAAATATTAAAAACACAATTACTATTGCTACCTTAGAAAGAATAAGAGAGTGACACACTAGACACGATTTTTGTCTTTATGATCATTTAGTATTCTACAATTTTCAATTAGGAAAGTGGATTTAAGGCACTTGTACTATAAAATAATGTACTATTCCTTTTATACACTCTTTTCATTTAATCTATTATATCATTTTATATTACATTTTCACTTATCTTAATTTATTGTATTTTAATTTCTTTTCGTACGCCCGCTTCTATTATAACTGTTATTTGCATCAGTTCTCTACGCGAAGGTTGTCTAGAAGAGATCACTTTCAGAGTGATAAGACCGCCTGTTGTATATATTATACTTTAGATTTAACTTTACTAATTATTCTCTTCTTGGCGTACAATAAAGCATAAAAACATAATGCTACAGTGTCAATGTCTTCGAAATAACAGACACAGAAAGATAGAGGTTTGACATTCGCCTTAAAGTCAACTTATAAAAACTAAATGTCATTATCCTACAGAATTAATTGAGAAATTAAGCTGAATAGTTAGTTCGTAGCTACATAGCCGCAATACGGTGAAAGTTATATCTACTAGTAACGACTACATGCCCGTTCTACGTGGTGAATAGGCTTCTAGCAAAACAGGTTCGCTAAAATCTAATAAGATTATTTTTCAAAATATAGAATAAGGGTGACAAACAAGTACAAGGTCCACCTGATGGTAAATAGATGCTGTGGCCCATACACTTTTAAATTTATTTTCGATTAAACATCAAAATGCAGATGCACTGTCACCTCGAGGTCTAAGATGGAATGTCTTGTACCCAGTAAAAATGGTCTCGGGTTATTAACACTCCATACGAAACACAGCAATGTTGAGCCACTGTATTACGCCGGTAGAGCGAGGTCTTTCCCCGGTCGAGCCGACCCATTCGTGCTGCAGTCATAATATAGCTGCAGCGTGGCTCCACCGCGTAATCAGCTATTTACATTTCACATTAACATTAGTATGCGCAAGAAGAATTCACCTGCTGTTGGTTCATATAATGCTGCTGGTAATCTGGCGACTGCGCGAAGCCGATTGAAGGTGGAGCTCCGCTCTGGTTGCCCTGCGTCATTTCATATTTGATAAATAAACACTCACGCCTGTCACCCAGAGGGGTAGGCAGAGACTACACACTTCCATTTGCCACGATCCTGACACACCTCTCGCCCCTACTCCACATCCATATACCTACGCATACATGTTCGTCGGTTAAGGGTACTCCTAATTTGGTCCATTTTTAATATATCGCGAATTTGGTCGATAAACTTTCGCCTTGGACATGCCTTTCCGCCTCTGCCATTCATTTCTGCAACATAAATTTGCTTTGTCACTCTCCTCATTCATTCTTTCCACATGACCAAACCAACGAAGCATTCCTTTCTTAATCTTGGTCACAACATCGCCTTGCAAGCCACACTCTTCTCTTATCACACAATTTCTCACCCTGTCACTCAGATTCAGCTCTAACATAATCCTTAACGACCGCATTTCTACAGCGTTCATTCTACTCTCGTGCTTTTTCTGCCACACCCTACTTTCACTACCATACGTTAAAGTAGGGACCATCAACACAGCATTGTGAATTACACATTCTGACCTTCCACAAGAGTGTAGGGCTCCATTTACTCTACTTCCTGCGTTGACTCATCATTCCATACCCTTGCTAAATACGCATCCCAAATGCTCGACCAACTCCCGTTTTATTCTTATTTCACATATGGTTTTACTTTCTTCTCTTTCAAAATCCATAACTTTCTTCTTAATTGCGTTCACTTTCATACCCCTTTCTTTTAATGATCTGTTCAGTAATATAACCATCATTTGCAACTCGGCCGCCGACAACACAAAAATAACTTGATTGAACATCGGTATACAAAAGGCATTTGATGGTTAACTCACCCATTCCTAATCCACATTCTTCAACTTTCAAATTTTCCAAACAACTGTCCATAAATAGGTTGAACAGCCACGGGGAAGCCACACAGCCCTGTCTGACACCTTTATGGATGTCAAACCAGTCCGAGTAGACCCCGTTGATCCTAACACAAGCACTAGAGTCCCTATAAAGAGACTTTAATGCCTGTATCAACCCAGCGCCCAACCCAAATAAGCTCAGTGTTTGCCATAACACATCCCTATCCACTCAGTCATAAGTGTTTTGCCAGTCCATAAACACACAAAAATATTTTTGGATTTTGGCCAAAAACTTCTTGCTGCACATTCCAAATCATTCCATCAGTTTCTTTCATGACCCTTTCAATCAGTACCTTAGCATACAGTTTTCCCACAATGCTAAGAAGGCTGATACCACGGTAATTTTTACAGTCCTTCTGCGACCCTTTTCTTTTATATATTGAGACTATCACGGCTTTGTACCAGTCTACCGGTACCTTCTTCAGTTCCCAGCATAAATTAAACAAGGTGTACAGCAGGCCTGCCACCACTTCCTCTCCAGCCTTTAGCATTTCGAGTGAAAATCAATGATATCCAGCTGCCCTACCTGCTTTCATGCTTTTTATTGCTTTCATTATTTCATCTATACTTATCTCGCTATCTCTGTCCTCTTCTTTCGGAATATCTATTTCATTTAGTTCATACGTCATCTCCTCACTCATAAACATGCTTTCAAAATATTCCTTCTATATCTTTAAACTCAAAACTTCATCATTCAGAATATAGCCATTCGCGTCTCTAATAGCATTCATTATTTGTCAAGGTATTTGTTTTGAATGTCCTCTGGCAGTTCTTACGAGTTTCCAGAACAATTTAATATTTGCCTGGAAGTTATCCGATATTTTTCCATTATTCTTATCCTTTCTTTCTTGCTTTTTCCTTTCAACTACTTCTTTTACTCTTATTTGGATGTTTAAAAACTGGTTATTTTCTTTCAATATCCTCATTCGTACCGTCAGAATTACCAGCCTTTATTGATAGTAAATATATCCATTCTCTCTTCTTTGCTTCAACTTCCATACGTACCTCATTATCCCACCATAATGTATTACTTTTCCTTTCATTCTTTCTCTTACTAATACCACATACTTCGGTAGCTGCATCCACTAAACCTTTCTTAACATTTCCATACATTCTCGAAGTCTAACTCATTCATATATAATTCGTCCAAACCACTTATATTTTCTTTCAGTCTACATTTGTACTTGATTTTCTCACCTTCATCTTTTAACATTTCTGTTCTAATACGCTGTAATGCAGTGATAGACACCGAAGTCCGATGGCGCCAACGTCTGAATTAATTCGGCATAAAACCAAATAATATACGTTGGACACCCCAGTAAACCTTTGTATCTACCACCGAGCTCCTCATTCATTCATTCACAAATATGAAATCTATCATGCTTCTATCATCACCCCTTTTCCAAGTATACATGTGAATCCTTTTGTGGCGAAAGAGTGTTCGTCACAAAAATATTCTTTTCCACACATACGGTGAGGAGGCTATATTCACCATTCTCATTTTTACTTTCATCATCAAACATTCCCAATATCCTGTCATAACAAAGGCTCTTCACCCCAACCGTTCCATTTAAATCTAGCATAACAATATTTTAATTTTCTTTACATTACACAAAACTGCTCTTGGATATAAGTGAACTTAGACATGTCTGGGGCGTAGACCCCTAGCACAAACAACTTCTTTGAGCCCACTTTCATTCGTATCCATAGCAGTCTTGGGCTTACACATACATACTTTTTCACACATTGGCCCATTCTTTGAAAGGATAATACCGACTCCCTTGCATGCCCGCTCGATCTCGTCTACACCAGACCAGTATGCGGTATACATGCCATGTGCAGTGACATCCTTCCCCTTCCTCTTCGTCTCATTTACACATAATACATCTATTCCTCTATCATACATCATATCGCATACTTCATCCATCTTATCATTCATTGCCCCACATACATTCAGCGTAGCCAGATGGGCTTCTGCAATCCAATTTTCGCCCCTCTGGGAGACAGAACGTGACGGGTGGCGAACCTCGTCACCGTATTATTCATATTCATATTTGATTCAATTTAAATACATACACAAAAGCTAATGAGATGCTGTGACACATAGACTATATCTAATCTTGAATGTGTATTAAACATATGTAATTAAATAAAAATCAAATTTGGGAGACAGAAAATATTAGTTCAATTCTTTTTTTTAAATATAAAATAAGGGTGATAAACGAGCACACAGTGAACCTGATGGTAAGTGGATGATGTGATCCATAGACATCTATCTATCCTTAATTAAGAATCAAAATGCCGATGCGTTATCCACCCCTGAGAACCGAGATGGATGTTTATTCCGTTTATCCATCCTAAAGAATCCAACTTAGGGTGGATACTCGAAAAAGCGAATTCATCTATCCACCCCATCTGGGGTGGATAGTATGAATTCGTATATAATTTTATTTTTCTTCCGATTCTCTCCACGGCTGTGTACAATAAATTTATAGTTACATGATAAAAACTGATACTTAGTAGACATTACCTATAAAAATATATACATACTTCATGATCATGTCTGAAAGATTATTGCTGAATTAAAACGAATGCCTTACAAAATTACACATTCATTGGAATCTTGGCATAATTTAAAATGAAGTTAAAAACAACCTTCTAATCGTAACGTTTTCGAAATGCTTGCAAAATAAAAATGACCGGTTTTTCGCTAACACATCTGTGCTAGCAAAGAAATATAAAAAACGATTACAAATGTACATGAAAAGTGATGAATTTATCCAGGATATCAAATGATGTCTACTCGATAATGAAATTAGTTTTGGTAATTGCCTGGACACATTACAGTTTATAAATTACGCAATCATTTTTTTTAAACGGGGTAGTTTAATTTGATTTAAATGCAATGCGTAGTGCTTGGAATAGGCTGTAACAGTAGCGGTAACAACAACACGTAATAAGTTTTTGATGAGGTTTGCGGTTATTAAAAACTAATTAATAATTAGTGTATTTTGAACTGTACTTGGGATAAAAAGTCGGAAAAACAAATAAAAGTGAATTCCTATTATCTACCCCGTCTAAAGTGAATAGATGACCACGCGTTTCCGAGTATCCACACTGGGATGGTTTCTTTAGGGTGGATAAATGGAATAACCCAGTTGGATGTCCATCACGACTCTGACACGATACACGCAGCTGTGACCGGCTATTATCGGCTATCGTCGTGAATGTTCGGGCTGTGTGTGCGTGTGCGGGTGTTATCGTGCGGGTGGCGGTACATCAAAGGGTTTTAGCGAGCCAAATAATAGCGCTGCCTGGTCCAGACTAGCGTTGTTCATGTCGGCCGTTGTTTTTGATCAGTTCAGTTGATCAGTTCAGACGCATGCAGGTGGCTGTGTAAAAATGGAGTGGAGTGATGAAACGGCACTGGAAATACTCTTTTTAGATTTTAATAAATGCATTATGTAATTGTTAGCACACATGTAGTATTAAGAAATTCGTCGTCCATAGCTTAACGCATGGAGGTTAAAGAACAGGAGAACGATCGCTACGTACTAAATCATAGCCCGCCTGTCCTTGAAAATTGTAGAATACATAGCGGCGCTGACGTCTGTGAGTAGTGACTGCGAAGTTAGCTGTTTATGAGTACAAGTAGGTGAAGTTAGTTGAATAATGTACAAATTTTTATTTCATTTTTAATGTGAAAATTTTCATGCTCCGTAATTTCGTAATTTTTGACAAAAAGAAACATTAAAAAATGTAGAAATATTTTATTGTGCGTGGATGTGCAAGTGGTTTAGCATCTGATCGGAAAAATAGATTGAAAATGACTTTTATTGAGCGAACTTAGCGATCGCAGCGCCTCACTTATGGTGTCCATATTTCTGGGACACTATTTTCTACGGCGATCGTTCTTCTGTTTTCTAACCTTCATAATTAAACGTTTCAAAATGATTTCGGCCATCTTGTATTATTGCACGATAGTTGATGCAACATATCGAAGCCGCTAATATGACCACAGCTTTTATCGCGATAACTTTTTAGATTTAAAACGTACGAAGCTTCGGCACGCATTACTTCGGTTCGATACATACAGGTGCGGCCGAAGCATCAAAAGGGTTTCCAACTTCTCTACACTCACCATACGAAACACAGCAGCATCAAGTTGCTATTTTAAGCTGGTATTCTGTGAGGGTGTGGTCCAACCTCAGGACCTATTGGAGCTACAACCATAATATAGTTGCAGCGCGGTTCTACCACATATAAAATATATAGGTATAAAATAAATCACGCCTGTGTTCCGAAATAGAAACCAGTATACTGGCCAATGCAAATGACGTCATAAATCGACGCCATCTGGTGATTCGTTTCCAAAACATTGGCCAGTATATGACACCATACATGCTCTTGACCACGATTCCTCAGTAACAAAGAATGAGTATGATTTTTTACTATTTTCATCGTAAAGATTTAAATGTTTAAGCTCTGACATTTTTTGTATTTGAATAAATAAAAACAAATTCCAGCATGCTTCATTCAGCGTACACACAATTAAGAATTGTTTTAATATGGCGGGATATTCGACACAATATCGCGGTGGCACGCCAGTACAATATGGCGTCAATTATTGACGTCATTTACATTCGCCTTTGTCGTATTTCATTATTACCTTAACAATTGGCCGTCCCTGAGGCATCTTTAAAGGCTGAGACCATTGTTGCTGCTTCGGACTAAGTGTGTCTGATTCCTTGTCTGCTGTCATTTTACGTAAAACCTGCAATTAGCAAAATAAACTTGTTCATATTCAATACAAATACAGTGCTTTATTTATTTTTTATATGTTACCCCCGCATTAAAATATTCTCCTGGTCTGTGGAGGAAGTTTACATACACAAATTTCAAAATAACAAACATCCAACTTGGAACAATTACTACTTGTGGGCCATATAAATACTTTGATTAAAACTACTTTTACATATTTTAATTTTTTTAATTCAATTAAATAGAATTATAAAATTTAAAAGAATTAAACGAGATAAAATACGTAAAAGTAGTTTTAATCAATATGTAGTGTTCGCGTAAATATAAGAAATCATCATACAAATACTTGTCCCTTGCGGAATTTGAACCCACAGCCTCAGAACCACAACTTATGGTTAAGGCACTGTGCTACAGAGCCGCCAATTTATTATATATTGACCATAATCAATCCCAACGTTGTTGCTAATGTGGTATACTTCAGGGTATGGAACTTTTTATTCCTTCCTCTGTGATGCCCATCGGAGGCAAATCTCAGCCATGGTTTGGTCGCTTCTGTAAAATAGCATTATGCTATAAGCAGGAGTGCTACCAAGCCTTGGCTAACGCATCAACGTCCCAGGGTGTAAACACCAGCGCTCTAAAAAAGAAGTACAATTCCGCCTCTAGGTCCTTCAAAAGAGTCATTGCCAAGGCAAAGTCAGAGCACATAGGCAGAATTGGCGAGAAACTAGTTCGCCTTCCTTCTGGAACCCGTGCATTCTGGTCTCTTGCCAAGGTTGTCCAGGGGAATTTCTGTCAGCCATCTTTTCCATCTCTGTACAGGGAGGACGACTCACTGGCCCATACCGCAAAGGAGAAAGCCGACCTTCTAGGCTCTTTCTTTGCGTCCAACTCGACTCTCGATGACGGGGGGAGTACGCCGCCGACCATCTCGCGGTGTGAGTGCTCCATGCCGGAGGTGCGGTTCACAAAGCGCTCGGCTCGCAAAGCATTCCTCTCCCTGGACATCCACAAGTCGAGTGGGCTGGACGGAATCCCCAATAGCCAATACGGTTTTCGTCGTGGTCGATAAGCTGGTGATCTTCTGGTCTACCTGACTCATAGATGGGCGGAGGTAGTAGAGTCTAAGGGGGAAGCATTGGCCTTTAGTTTGGACATCACAAAGGTCTTCGATCGGGTTTGGCACAAAGGGCTTTTTTCGAAGCTCCCTTACTACGGGCTTCCCGAGAACTTGTGCCATTGGATCACCTTTCTTGCAGAAGCTCCGATTACAAGCCAACGTTGTTTCTTCTGCATATCAATGATATGTTGCAAACCGGCAACATTCATTGCTATGCAGATAGACAGCACTGGTGACTGGTGATGCTCTGTACACCGGCCGTGCCAATATTTCTCGGGAAAACGTCACCGAGTACCGGGACAAACTTGTGTCTGAAGTAGAGTCTTTGCTGAACAAAGTCTCGGATTGGGGGCGACTAAATCTAGTCCAGTTTAACCCTCAGAAGACACAAGTTATTTTATTTTTATTTTATTTAACAAGTACACTTACAATACACATATATGACAATCACAAAAACATACACCTTTCTATACTCTCTGATATGTATATCTATAACAAGTGTACATAACATTCACAAATTAAGACGTGCAATTTTGGGTTAATTTTGAGTACAAATATCATCCGATCAATACAATGAAATTTGAACTATTCAAATAAATTATGTACTTAAGAAAAATCTAAAGATAAAAAACAGGTTTAATTATTAAAAGGGAATATGGTAGATATTAAACTCTCTTCAAGAGTATGTATATTTTTTTATTTAAGATATATTATATTGAAGATGTAATTTAAATCAGGATCTCGATGATATATGATTTGTAAGTTTAATTTTGAATGCAATATAAGAGTCGTTAAGTATGTCAATGCCAGGTATGGTTTTAGAAAATTCGTTGTATTTTCCACATATACGCACGATAGGAGCGTGACTCCCGAGATGAGTTTTCGCGAAAGGAATATGAAATGTTTTTTGGATGTGACATCGGGGATATTTACGCGGAACAGCAAATTAAATGCGGTCAAGGAGGTCACTGCACTTAACATTATTGTGTATTATTTTATGTAGAAAAGAGAAATCTAGAATATCTCGTCTATTTCGGAGAGACATCATTTTAAACTTATCCAGTCGCTGATAGTAATGCTGCCTATGTGAGATACCACTGGCATGAAAGGCAAGATGTCGAGTAAAGGCGCGCTGTATACTTTCAACCATTGTACTGCGCTTAATAAATCCTAAGAACTTCGCGGCTTTATTAACAATATTGTTTATATGAGATTTAAATGTTAGCTTTCTGGCAATAGTTACTCCTACGTCTTTAATCTCATTACCAATGGAGTAACTAGAGACAAGCGGTTTTATTTTCCTGGTGTATTTTACATGGAAGCATTTGTTAGCATTAAGAGTCATACTATTGACGTCACACCAATGGTATATTCTATTCAGATCGTCCTGTATAAGTTTTATATCCTCCACTGATTTTATTGGTTTATAAATTTTTAAATAATCAGCAAATAACGAGCAACGACAATTTTTGATTACAGTAGTGATATCATTAATAAAAAGCCAAGAATAATAGAGGGCCCAGATGCGAACCTTGAGGCACCCCCGATTGAGCTTGATACTGTTTGGATTCAAAACCATTGACAACGACAATTTGAGATCTCTTCTCTAAATAAGATCTAAACCATTCAATCAAGGAAGGACCAATACTATACAGAGAAAGTTTGTTAATGAGTTGCTTGTGGTCAACCTTGTCGAATGCACTGCTAAAGTCTGTATATATGGCGTCAATTTCTTGGCCCTTGTCTATCTCTTTTAAAAGATCAGAAGTAAAATTACACAAATTAGTTTGAACTGACAATCCACTTCTGAATCCATGCTGCGAGCCAGTAAGAAAATTATCAAGGTACTTGGCAAGAACTGGGTGCACAAGACTTTCAAATAGTTTGGAAAAGCAACAAAAAATTGATATAGGGCGATAATTTTTTATACCCATGCGATCACCCTTTTTAAAAACTGGGACTATTCGTGCCTTTTTCCATTCTTCAGGGAAAATACCATCTTCTAGGGAACGATTAAAAATAAGGGTCAATGAAAAGCGATTTTTGAACCACAACAAAAATAGGAGGGATACTATCTGAACCCGCACCCTTTTCAGTATCTAATGTTTTAATATTTTTTTTTTCGACATCTGTTTCATTAATCTTCAATTTACTCAAATGTGTAATATGCTGCTTTGCATGAAGCATGCCGCTTTGTTGTTAGTTGTTTTGGTGTAAACGGATGCGAAATGGCTTGCAAATAAATTGGCTATTTCCGTTCCGGAGTTTGCCACCTTGTTATGAAATTTCATTGACGCGGGTAGAGTTGACTCACCTTTCTTTTTATGTTTAATGTATTTCCAAAGGTGTTTTGGGTTTTTCGAAATATCAGATTCTGCATTGTGTTTAAAATTATTAAACATGAAACAAAGAGTTTGTGACACCGACTGCGAAGTATTTGCAATTCTAAGTGATCTCTGGGGTTATTATATTTGCGATATTTTTTGTGTAGTTTTTCTTTCTTTGATAATAACCAAGCTATGTTTGAACCAATTAGGATATTTTGCTGAAATAATCTTACGTTTAGGTACAGATAAATCGATGACTTCAAAGAGACGATTATAAAATACTTCAACCATAGCATTGACATTTTTGCATTCAGAAAATTCGTGCAACCAATCAATATTTTTAATTTTATCAATAATAGTTTTATAATTAGCCTTAAAGTAATTATAATCTATACGAATTTTGGAACGAAGGAAGGAAATATGATCGAATTCTATACTCATTAAAAAACCTGTATGGTATGAAACTAATTTACTAAGTATTTCAGGAGGTTTTGTAACTATAATGTTTGTTAAATTACTTAGCACTAAGTCCAAAAGTCTACCGTCACAGTTACTTATACAGTTATATTGGTATAAATTATTAATAGACATAAAGTCAACTAATGTGTCCTAGAGGATTGCTATAATTACATGGTGTCATGTATGAACATTTTTCACTAGCAGACCACTCAAACCCATATTAAAGTCACCGATTACAACTAAGTCATCAACGTGGTTAGCAACATTATCCACGCTATCTAAAAATATATTTAGGCTTTCTAGTTTAACTGGTGGTGGCAAATAGACTACACAAAGTCCAATACTTTTTGTGACATGGTTGTTATTGAATTTACTACTACCCACATATTTTCTTCATCGGTTTCCCAATTTACAATACGAGAGGATGAGATCTTACGTGGAATGGCAATGAGAACACGTCCACCATCCTTTTTGGATGAGCCTAGACACACACGATCTTTTCTATAAACAACATAACGGGAATCAAATAGTTCATTGTCAAAGATACTAGGCTTAAGCCAAGTCTCAGTAAATATGATAATTTTATAATTTGAAATCAAGATATTCTTAAGCACATCGTAGGTCTTAGTTCTCACACCTCGCACAATCTGATAATAGACTTCTAACACTGTAAACATTTGGGCGCCATATCATTCACATATATTTTTTTAATTTAAATTATGAGCTTAAGACTATCTTCATTTTTTATTATTATTGCTTGACTAAATTCGTCTTTGCGTACGTAAATTTTTCCATTCCTAATCCATATGAAGCGATATTTCATTTCTTTGGATTTTATGCGCGCAGCAGTATGAAGGGATTTATTTCCTGGAGTTAAATGTTCTGAGACATATATTGGGACTCTAGATCCCCCAATTCCTGGATGGTGAGAGTTAAGTTTATCATCAAGATTTTTCTTATTAAATAAAGCAACAGCCGCCAGGAGAGCATCTCTGTGTTTCATGGTACGAAGCTTAACAATGACAGAACGTGGCTTGTTGGCATTTTTATTCAGCTTAGCTACTCGGGTAACATATTGGATGTCATCAACTGACAGCGAATATTTAA